CGCTGCGTTGCCTAGACAACGGCAACTCCTACACACTGCTATTTATTCTGAAGGACACTTGCTCTTATCTGTTGTTGCAAAGCCCTCAAAAGATTGCATGCCATGCAAAATTCCTCAGAGGTAACCGGACTCGCTGCTCCCGTCCCAAAAGCCACCTCCTGGGGACGTGCCAGCCAGCGGGGTGGCCAGGAGGATGCTCCTTGGGTGACAGTCCCTTGGCCGGCATCACTCGAAGGGATGCAGGTGGGAGGGTGACCCACACCGTCCTTGGGGCAGGACGGGGTGCTGCTGGGGGCCCGCCTGCTTTGTGCTGTCCCGTATGAGCTGTGGGCATCCCCCACCGTGTCCCTGCCCACCATCAGAGCCTCTGGCCTGGGGAGCGATGCCAGGAGCAAGGGACACCCCTGCCTGTGGGTGTCACCTGGGGCCGCCTGGCCATGCTTGGGCACAGCGTTTCTGGTGTGCTGGCGTGAAGCCAGGGGTTGCGCGTTGCATTTTCCTGCGTGTCTGCCCGATGCTGGAGGGGAGCAAGGCAGTGATGCTTGGGCAGGTCCCACGCAGGAGCAAACCCCTGCGAGCTCGGGGCTGCCATCACTGCAGCTTCAGAATGTCATCAGCAAGCAGGAGGAAATGGGAAGAGGGGGAAAAACCTGTTTTTTCTGCCGGCTGGGCTGCCAATGTACCAGGGACTGGCATTTTGTCTTTCAGAAGCTTCCACACAGCAGCTGGGATTTAGCGAGCACCAAGTTTGGGCTGGGCGCATCTTCCCTCGCCTCGTTCAGCGGCTGTTAATAAAAGCGCCTCATGTGCTGCTTCCTTGTGGAGAGCTGGACGGGCAGGGAAGAGGTTTGTGTGTGTGCACAGGTGGTGCGAGAGGTGGTACCAGGGTGAGCGTAGCGCCGGGGAGGTGCCCCGTGCCTCTCCTTCCTTGCAAGGAGACATTTCATATGGCATTAGGGAGTCAGGCAGAGGCTGAAATCGAGCCCGACGTGCTGCTGGAGTGAATATGAGCATTGCTAAGGTGAATCTGTGTTTAATGCTCTCGCTGGAAGCCTGAGCTCCTGACTGCTCGCCGGTGGAGACGGGGTGTTGCCTGTGGCACCGCTGATGCATGGCACGTGGGGGATGCTCTTTGTGCTGCCCCCCACGGCACTGCCACCGCTCTGCCGGCCTCTAAAAAAAACCCCACCAACAACATGTTTTGGGTGGTTTGGTTTTTTTGAAGCCTTGAAATCCTTCCTCCCCCAGCCTGAACTATTTTGGTTTGTGCTGTCTGTTTCTGGCTCTTCCCTTTCTCCTTCTGCGCTCTTTCCCTGCGTCCTCCCAAATGGAAATGCTGTTACACTTTGAAAAAATACCCAATTAGGAAAAAAAAAAGAGATCCTCTGAGCAGAAAAAGACTGTGCCTTAGAGTATCCAGGTCAGCTCCTTTAGCTTCATTTGCTCACACGTGGAAGGAGAGTACAAATGCTTCTGTCAACCAGAGGCACATTTTGTAGTGCTACCAAGGACTTTACGGGGCGCAGTGCTGCGGAGGTTTAGTCTATTTAGCCATATAAAGCTCTCATTAACTCCTGCTGAGTTCAACAAAAGTCTTTCTTGTGTAAAAGCTGAATAAAATGGAGTAAAGATTTTTGGGCTTTGGCCTAATGATTTTTTTTCTGAGGAAAAAAAAAAAAGAACAAGAAAAATTTGTGTGTCAGGCATTTTCTTACCATGAAACACCGTGCTTCACGTGGGGTAGCATCCTAGGGGAAGGTGGGTGCCGCTGAGGAAGGGAGAGGGCTTTGACGTGACTTGACCTGATGGTGGCATATAACATCAAAGCAAAATTTTAAATAATGAGCCTGCCGACAGTTCAGCGTGATTTCCAGCTATTCTGTGAAAGAGAGAGCAGTGAAAGGGGCTGCTCGTCCTTCCCTGCTAGGCCAGGGGCTCCACTAAGGAAGCGCCCGGCGCGGCGCCCGGCGCGGCGCCCGGCTAATACCGATGCCCGCAGGGTTGCATTCAGCTCTGGGTGCCGTGCTCCGCAAGAGGGGATGCTCCTGCTGCGGCATGGTTGACCTCCTCAATAGGAGATGGGTTACACATGCAAACGTGAGAGTGCGGGTACTCTTCTGCTTCAGCTCATTGAGGGATTAATACCGCTGCCCTCTGTGGGCTCGCTCCTTGTACCTTGGCTTGGAAAGCTGGGGAGCAGGGGCCGAGCTCCCCAATACCCCTGCGACTTAGAGAACCCAGAGCAAAGGCTCTCGCTGCTGGCGCTCCGCTTGTGCCAGCTGCTTTAGATAATTCATCTAAAACGGCTGAGTTTGGGCAACGCAGACGCTGGCTGCTTTCTCAGGGCATTTCGCAGTAAAACCCATCCTTGAGTCGTTCACGGTGTTTGCAGATCCACTGAAAAGCAGCAAAGTCGCATTTTTGGATGAGGGTCCTTGGTTTGCCTTGTTCGTGGTGGTGGGTTTTGTGGTGGGAGGAGGGTGGGGAGGGGGTGCAGGGTGCCCTGCGATGCTGTTTCGGGGGGTGCTGGCTGGAGCACGGGGGGAGAATGATGGCACCGCTTTCCCGTGCTGCTGGGGGGTGTTTCGGGTGGCTGGGCTTGGGGAGCTGGGGTGTGCCGTGCCGGGAGGGAGCGCTGGGATGCTCCCCTGCCTTTCTAATACAGTTGCTGTCTGTCCGCAGGTCAAGTTGCCCGCTCGGAAGCCATGCTTGGATTTTAATAGCCATGTTCCACCTAGCCATGGACCTCGCCAGCTGCCAGCCCCCAGCCAGCGGCACTGGGGGGA